TAGTCAATATCTCTCTCGGGATGGGGGGATACCCCTTATTAACAAGGGTGCCCGAACGATGCATATTTGTATACCTAACCCTTAACTGTACCCCACAATTTTAAAATAAAAAATATGCTTAAAAAAAAAAGAAGAGATATGAGCAGCCAACAGATATTTGAAAAAATGCTCAGCCTCACTAGTTGTCAAAGAAATCCAAATTAAAACCACACTGAGATACCATCTAACTCCAGTCAGGATGGCCATCATCAATAACTCACAAAACAACAGATGCTGGATACAGTGTGGCAAAAAGGGAACACTTCTTCACTGTTGGAGGGAGTGTAAACTAGTACAGCCTCTGTGGAAAACAGTGTGGCAATTCCTAAAAGATCTAAAAATCAACCTCCCATTGACCCTGCAATTCCCCTATTGGGAATATACCTGGAGGAACTCAAATCACTCTATAAAAAAGATACCTGTACACACATGTTTATTGCAGCATTATTTACAATAGCCACAACATGAAATCAACTGTGCTGCCCATCGAAAGAGGACTGGATAAAAAAAAATGTGGTACATATACACAGTGGAATGTTACACAGCCATAAGGAAGGACAAAATTATGAACTTCACAGCAACTTGGATGGACTTAGAGGCTATAATACTGAGTGTTCCATCACAGAAACAAAGAATTGAGTATCACATGTTCTCACTCATAAGTGGACTTTGAACAAGTATCATAATACTATAAGAAAGGGATTGGCAGTAGTGGGAAACTGCCAGGGGAGGGTGGTGGTGGGATTGGCAGTAGTGGGAAACTGCCAGGGAAGGGGGAGGCACACCTCACAAGGGTACCTGCAAAATGAACAGTTGTATACCAAACCCTGAAAAGTACCCCACAAATTTAAAATAAAAAAAAACTCCCCAAGAAATTCTAGTATGCATCTAAGTTGGGAACCATTGTTTTGAAGGTGTATACCAGAAAAGTGGTAAGAACATAAGTTTGGATAGATTATAGTACAATTAAAATAAAGACAAGAGTATAGGTTTGACTTAATAGGCATTAGAAAATCTTTACTGATTCTTGAATAAGAAAGTAACATTATTAAAACAACGTTTTGAGAAGATTAATTTACTGGGGCATGGTTGGAAGACAGGCTCTGGGGCAATGGGAAAAGTCAGGGTTCTAGGTAGTAGGCATAAATAGTGCACAATCATAAAATTAATTACAGAGGCGGAGGAGAATGAGAAAACATGACTTTCCAAGAAGGTGTGATCTCACTAAAGAATCTGAGGCTATAATTATACTTTGTCAATGTCAGTAAAGAATGTGAGGCTGCAGATCAGGCACTTTGGGAGGCCGAGGCGAGTGCATTGCTTGAGCCCACGGGTTTGAGACCAGCTCGGGCAAATTGGTGAGACCACGTCTCTACAATAAATCAAAAATTAGCTGGGTGCAGTAGCATGCAACTGTAGTTCCAGCTACTTGGAAGGCTGAGGCAGAAGGATTGCCAGAGCCCAGCAGGTCGACGCTGGGGTGGCCATGAGTGTGCCACTGCACTCCAGCCTGAGCGACAGAGTGAGACTCCAACTCAAAAAAAAAAAAAAAAAAAAAGAATGCGAGGCTACAATTACACTTTGTCAATAATACAAAGTTGCAAATGTTATTTCCTAATTTTGGACATAAGATTAAGAAATGAACTTTAACTCGCTGTGCCAAAGTTTTGAATCACTTCTTGGCCTTTTGGCTAAGATCAAGTGTAGTATCTGTTCCTATCAGTTTAATAAAGATGCTGAATAATAGTGGGAGAAAAAAATGCATTGAGTTCCTCTTTTATCACTACTAGAAACAAAATACATCAACTTCATACACTTGCTGAGTATTAATAGGATACCCATTAAAACCATTGCTGTTATTACCCATTGAAAGTTAAAGATGAAAGAACAGAGATTGTTCCTACTTTAAAAGCATGCTGTTCATTCCACTTGGACTGCTCTTTGTCATTTGTGTTCAATGAAAAACTTATTCATCATTTGTATGAAGTCTCCAGGACAAAACTTTCCCAGATCACTGTAAGCAGAAGTTATTCTCCTTGTTAAAACTTACTCTCTTGTATCCCTCATTATTGTACTTCCTGCATGCTACTTGAGCAGTCTTTATCTGAAGGGAGCAAGGGAGTACAAATAAGAAGCTTCTGGTCCCTCCTTAGGTACAGAATTTTAGTTTCATTTTCCCTATTTTTAAATTGTCTTAATCAATTATCAAGCAAATGCGGGATGCTTATAACATTTTAACCTGTGTCTCTAGGATTCAAGAGAACAGCACATTTTAAACTGATTATTTACCTGTGGAAAAGGCCATCCCCAAGCATGTATTGAAGCCAGTGATGGCCAGAATGTCATCAAAGCTGCCAGCAGCCATGAGTAAGGTTGGGATACCCTTTTCAACACCATAGCCTGCTCCCTGTAAAAGGAGCATTGAAGGCACCACAACAGCGGGAGATACAGCACCTAAAACAAAACTAAGCAGGCAGCACCTTAAACATTTATGATAGTATCTTACTCATTATTATTATTATTTTAAAATTATAATACCCTCCACTCTTTTAGAGGTTATACTTAGAACTACAGTCTTTCAAATGGCAGAGAAGCACCAAACCGGAAACACATATATGCATAAAAGTTCTAAGAATGCTACTTTTCAAAGTGTGGCCAAGGACTACCTGCTTCAGACTATTTAGGTTGTAAAAAATAATATATTTAAAAAAGGTATGGAAGACCTAATGGGATTAAGTCCGTCTTTTTTAAACAAAACATTCATGTTAGGAGGCTTGAAAAATACTGCCATAGACTTTGTGATGCTTGGCCTTCTGTTAGGGCTTGTTGTGTAAAATAAGATAACAGATTAAAAGAAGAGTAAATGACAGTGACAGTGATAACTTGTAATTGTTTGATACTAGTAAGCACTATAAAATGGTCTTTGCAGCACTTGTAACAGCAAAGAACATTTGATCGTGCTTACTAGTATCAAACACCATTTTCAGGACTTTACATATATTAAGTTAATCCTCATAATAAACTTATGAAATAGATATGATCTACTTTCACATTACAGTTGAGGAAACTAAGGCACAGAGAGATTAAATAACTTGTTAAAGATCACACACTGAAAAATCACAGAGCTGGGATTTGAATTCAGGTAGTAGAGCTCCAGAGTCTTAACCATGAGAAGTAAGATGTTCTTACTCCTTGCCTACTTAGTAGCACTAAATTCGAAGTCCTTTCTTATTTATTTACTTCTTGTGGCTCTTAACTATTGGAACTAAAAAACTGATAGTGGAAGGAAGAGACAGCAGAACTGCTGAGTCACTATAGTCTGGTGACAGGAGGGAAACAACGGCAGTTGTTGATCATTGTGTTTATCATCCTTTGTGCAGACTTTAAGTGAGATCTAGCATCTCTCTCACAGGCATGGAATCAGTGTGGGCAGAAGACCATGGCTTATTCAGTAGTTTGAATAGTTGGTACTAACTGTAAATGTGAGCACCTACTATAAGACATGGACTGTGGCCATTGCCTTACTAGACTCTGGTGTGGTCATGTGCCCTTTGAGCTATGGCTGTGGCCATGCTTCCTGGCTTTGGCCCCCTCCCCCACCTTGGGGAGGTGAATCTTCTCTCTCCCTTCTGTTTCTCTCTCTAATTTACTTTTAAATAAACTTTTCTTTCTTTAAAAAAAAAAAGACGAGGACTGTGTTTTGAAGTTAAATTATTTAGATTATGCTGGAATATCTATGTTGCCTTATCTGGTGTACTTAAGAAAATTCTATTATGCATTTTCTTGTATGGAATCAGGGAAAGTTCTAAATGTCCCTATATATTTTTATATGACAAAGAAGCAATCAATACCCCAGCATAAATCCCCACTGCCATGGTAAACCCAGCAGGAAGTGTGTAAGAACAGCAGATGAGCATGCCTCTACAGTACAGGGACCCAGGGACAGTCTCACACAAACACCCTTTAACTTCTTCAGGGCCTGAAACATAAAAACAGACATACTAATATAATCGTCTGAAGACACACAGAAATGACCTTCAATGTTTCCTCCTGAGTACAGACCATGTCTGAGTCATCATGAGTTTTTCAGGGAGTGAGTTTTAGTTAACTTACATTTAAGCATTCCAAATGTTTTAGAGACAGCTTATTTAGTTATCACAGCAACCCTATAGGATAGGTAATATTGTTATCTCCATTTCTTACATGGTCTTCATCTGAAAAGGCACAAGTTAAAATCATTTGCCTGAGATTATGAAACTGTCAAGTGGTGGGGCCAGGTTTTAATCCAGGAGGCTGCTTCCAGAGTCTGTGCTCCTAATCGTTTGCTGATTTAACATTCTAAATATTAGTTTATTTGTAATTTGTGGCCCAAGAATGAGGCTAGGGTAAAGAGCCTCATCCCCCAAGAACACTCATTCCTGCATTCAAAAACACACATGAAAAAAAGCATACTTGAGACTCAGTCTATATAATAGGCAGTTTCCTGAGCCAATATAGTTAGCCCTAAACAAATGTTTAGGGCTTTCCAGACCAAAAACCACGTTTTCTCCCCTACGACTATTATTTATAACTTTGGCCTGTATCTCTGTCGGAGAAAAGTGGAGTCTTTATTCTTGGTGCTTACTCCACAGACAGACTCCATTTTTCTCCAACAGAGTATGAGAACTTTTTTTTTAGGTTTTTGTACAAGTACAAGGTCATACTTGCAAACAGTCCTCTATGAAACAAATTCCTCTTTTTGAGACTGTCACACAAAGTGTCCAAATCTATTTCCTAAATACTTGGAGTATCAGAGGAACAAAGTTTCCATTCAATAATGAGAAATTTCTACCTCATACCTCTGAATCCAGACCAAGGCCAGCACGAACTAATATGATAGACAGGGCTATACTTCTCAAAGAAGAAGACCACTTATGGTTGATCTGGACATTATCACTGATGACTGGGATATTTCTCATAAGAAAACCAGCAAGCAGCATGCCTTAAATGGAGAAAGTGAACAAATCTAGTTAGTTTTCAAATACTGAAAATATTTTTCAATCCTTCAGATGTGAAAAAGATTACCAAATGATCCCCAAAACCACTTTCCTTATGCTTAACCCTTGGAAGAAATTAAGTTCAACTTTTAAGTTAAAAAAGCAAAATAATGTAATATTTAATTTATAATAAATTAAAGGAGCTTACCGTGCAGACTAAGAGATAGATCTGAAGTATTAATATTCTCAAAATAACTGAATTTAAAAGGCATACAAGAGGCAGCATTTGGCAAGAGATGAGAGTATGATCCAATTCTAAATGTAAAATGTTTTAATACAATGTTACTTCAGCCATCCCTTTGTATGCAAACAGCTCCTGAAATGATTTGCTATGTCAGATTACTTGAAATACCAATAAATACTTACATGGGTTCTATTTTACTTTCATATCAGATAATTAATAAGAAACATGCAACCAACTTTGCAAAGATTTTGGAGGTGAGTTATGATGAAATGGATATTGCCCTGTCAGGTCAGTTGGTGACTCTTCTTTTGGTAGTTTAGACACTATAGCATTGGTAATATTATAATGGAGAAAGACCATGTACTATACTTCAGCAAGCTTTCAGCCTCTAGGGGAGTAAGGCAAATGTACCATCCCAAATTTATGAAAGCATGAGGGGTGTTACATGAGCTGAGACAGGAAGGGGAGAGGGACAAAGAAGACACTGGGTGAGTTGAGAAGTTTCTCAGAGAGACAGTATTCTATTCAATGGTATAAGAAAAAGTGACACTTTCTAGAAACTACAAATAGTCCAGCGTAACTGAGAAAAGTGAGTAGTTTGTGAGATATTCTGCCTTTATCAACGCCACATGCTCACACAAAGGGACAGACTTCCATCAGAGACTGGGAGGCTTCTTTCCTCCAGGCTTCTCCAGCAGGGCCCTCTTCTTACCATGTCCTCATAAACACCACAGTTCAAATGGCTAAATCCATTTACTAAAGTTAGGATATTCTGTGATGCAAAGTAGGAGAATAGAGCTGCAAGTATAGCTTTTTGTGACTTGCTACAGGCCCCCATTAGGCATGTGGGCATCACTTCCAGGCATCTCCCACCACTGTCACTTAATCTAGAAGGAAGTCTCCATGTTCTGAATTCTGCGGTGATAGTCTTTCTAGAATGTTTATCAGGCAACACTATGAATGAACCTGTTTTCAGAAAAAGTGATGAATCATATACGCATATGGTTAAATTAAAACATTGCTGACAAAGGTAAAATGACAAGTACATGACATACCTCAATTGCAACTCTCTGCCTTCATTCCCTAAAGGTTTCCACTGTTAAGGGTTTTCTGTGCCCTTCCAAAAGTTTCTATACCTATTCAAGCATGTTTCTGTATGTATGTCCTTTTTTGTGCTGGACACAAATAGGACCAGACTTATACAATGTACAACTTGGGCTTTTTTTTCTGTTTAATAATATATCGTAGACATTTTCCCATTGAAACACATATATATTTGCCCTATTCTCCTTTTTTTAAAAATTTATTTACTTATTATAAAGATGTTGCCCTATTCTCTTTTAATAGCTGCAATAGTGTGCTTCACTGTTTGGCAGTACCATAATTTTGGGGTAATTAATCTCTTAATTAATAGATTTTAAGGAACTTTTCAGATGTTTCATTATAAAGAGTCCTGAAATGAACACAATTCATACATCAAATGTTTATTAAATGCCTACTATATGCCAGCTCTGTATGACATCCTGGTAATACAGAGGCAAGCTAGACCAACAAGGTCCTTGCCCAACTGGAGCTCATGTATTTGTAGGTTTGTATAAGTATATTCATAAGGTAATTCCTAACAATGGAAATGCTAGGCTCCAGAACACAGGTGTATATCATTTCTTTTTTTTTTTTGAGTTGGAGTCTCACTCTGTCACCCAGACTGGAGTGCAGTGGCCTCTCCCGGCCACCGCAGTCTCGACCTGCTGGGCTCCAGCGATCCTTCTGCCTCAGCCTTCCAAGTAGCTGGAACTACAGGTGCGCGCTACCACGCCCGGCTAATTTTTTGATTTGTTGTAGAGATGAGGTCTTGTCAAGTTGCCCAGGCGGGTCTCGAACCTGTGGGCTCAGGCAATCCACTCACCTCGGCCTCCCAAAATGCTAGGATTACAGGCTGAGCCATTGAGCCTGGCCTGGTGTATATCATTTTGTAGACATTGACAAGTTACCATACAAAAATGCTGCACTAATAATTACATTCCATAGTATTTACTTATTTATTTATGAGTTGGAGTCTCAATCTGTCACCCAGACTGGAGTGCAGTAGCATGATGACAGCTATCACAGCCACAACTTGCTGAGCTCAGGTGATCCTTCCACCTCAACCTCCTGAGTAGCTGGAACTGCAGGTGCGCACAACCACACCTGGCTAATATTTTTATTTATAGTAAAGAGGAGGTCTTGCTATGTTGCCCAGGCTGGTCTTGAACTCCTGGACTCAGGCAATCCTCCTGTCTGGGCCTCCCAAAGTGCTGGGATTATAGGCGTGAGCCAACATTCCTGGCCAGCAATTGCTCTTTACTGAAATTTAAAATGTGTATCTAAACCAGTCCTGAATTAATTAATTAGCATGTAACATCAGCATGTAACATGAATTAATGAGCATGTAACAACCTGAATTCAGAAGGAATAATCTAAAAAAAAAACCCTCACAACTATATAGACATATATATATATATATATATTTTTTTTTTTTTTTTTTATTGGTTTTGTTTTGTTTTGGGGGAGATGAGGGAGAATTTTTCATTTCCAAAATGAATGTGGAAAATTTCCCTGGGACACTGTTGCCTTTGCCAATGGTCTGGGTTGATGTGATGTGACTATCTGATTTTGATTTGGCAGGAGTCCCTTTCTTGCCTCTAAGCCCACAAGAGCTTCCTTCTTGATTGTGGAGGAAAGAATGTCTTCCTTGACATAGGAATATTTCCTTTTATAAAAATTCATATTATGGAAACTTTCAACAAATGGTCAATCTTATTTCATCTACTCCCAAGTTATTTTTTAAAAATTTGTATTATGGAATTTGTTTCAATAATGACTTGCTTCAAAATAACTTGGGTTATTCTATTTCAAAATAATTCTACCAAGGAAGGCATTCTTTCCTTTACAACCAAGAAAGGTGTTCTTTCCTCCACAACTACACGGGCTTAATGGTGAGAAGGGGGTACCTGCCAAATCAACATCAGATGGTGACATCATATTGACCCAGACCACTGGCAAAGGAAACAGTGTCCCAGGAAAATTGTTTTTATGTTCATTTCAGGAATGAAAAATGCTCTCTCATTCCCCATCCCTGACAATTATTTTAATAAACTCTTAAAAATATAGAACAATCATCACACAAATTTTGTCTTTAAAAGTTTTCTTTATAATTCAGATGTTTTAGTTTTGGATACTGGTCCTAATATAACAGGAACCAATCAACTTTTTTTCTATCCAAGTGTAAAATTACAAAAAAGGATGATAAGAGAGATCATGTATGTAACCTTTCAGAATGATTTCAGTTACCTGTGCTCACAAACCCCAAGACTTTAAATCTTTTTTGCAGCATAGTATATCTTGGTTTTGACATAGGCATGAACTGGAAGGAGGAAGGATGAAGTGTAATGGGCATTTTCATGGAGCCAAAAACAACAGTCTTTAACATAGGTTGCCTATTAAAATCACCTGCAGAGTTTTAAAAATTCTGATATCCAGGCCATACTCCATACAATTAATTCAGGATATCTGGGGCGGGACCCAGGAATCAGCTTTTTAAGAACTTCCTCAGGGGATTCCAATGTGTATCCAGTTTCTAGAATTAATGATCTTGCTACTTCAAGCGTCATCCTGAAGATGATCAGAAATGCCAAATCTCAGGTCCCAGCCCAGATATACTTAATTACAATTTTCATTTAACAAGATTCCAAGGTCATCCTGTGTACAAGAAAGCTTGAGATGCACAAATTTGGATGCTAGGATCAGCATAGGTTTTCTGTAAAACACAAGACAATTACTATTTTAGGCTTTGTGGGCCCTATGGTCTCGATTACAACTTCTCAACTCTGCCGGTATTAGTGTGAAGCATGAGTGTGTTTCAATATTTTATTTATAAAAAGAAGTAGTTTGCCAGCTATTTATCATAGCATCCAGGCATATTTAAAAACAACTCATGTTAACAATAATTTAATTATTGTTATTAGAGAATTATTAGAGAATGAAAACCACCTATAAGAAATAATACAAGTTAGGTGAAACACCTATAGTTTTACCTAAAATTAAAAATATATTCAGAAATAGTATATAGTAAGGTGTAAATAATTCTACTTCTTTTTATGTTTCAATTTAACTGCTGATCACCCGCTCAAAACCAAATAATTTTTATAGGGTGATTTGAATTCTTTCAGGTATATTCCCAGTACGGGGATTACGGGATCGTATGGAAGGTCAATTTTTAGATCTTTTAGGAATTGCCACACTGTTTTCCACAGAGGCTGTTCTAGTTTACACTCCCACCAACAGTGTAGAAGTGCTGTTCCCTTTTCACTGCATCCTCTCCAGCATCTGCTGTTTTTTGAGTTACTGATGATAGACATCCTGACTGGAGTTAGGTGGTATTATCATAGCATTGATCACAGTAGGAAGAACATGTAACCAACCGTGCTGCCCATCAAAAGAAGACTGGACTTTTTAAAATGTGATACATATACATGATGGAATATTACGTAGCCATAAAGAAGAACAAAATCATGAACTTCACAGCAATCTGGATGGACTTAGAATCTATAATACTGAGTGATCTTTCACAGAAACAAACAACTGAGTATCACGTCCTCACTCATAAGCGAACCTTGAACAATTATGGTAATACTATAAGAAAAGGATTGGCAGTAGTGGGAAACTGCCGGGAGGGGAGCAGGGATGCGGGATTGGCAGTAGTGGGAATTTGCCTGGGGAAAGGGGGGAGCATACCTCATCAACAAGGGTACCTGCATAATGAACATTTGTATACCTAACCCTGAATTGTATCCCACATATTTAAAATAATAAATAAAAAATAAAAATAAAATAAAATATAAAGCAAATAATTATGGTCTATGTTAACCAATCCCGATTGTTCTCATACAGCAAACAGAAAAAATTTTTTCAGGAAATGTGTGCAAATATATATTCACGTGTAAAAGGTAGGTGGTTTTTAAATAAAACTAAGTGATTAATAAGTCTCTTAGAAATAGACACATGGTCCAGATGCTCATGCCTGTAATCCCATACTTTGGGAGTATAACGTAGGAGGATCACTTGAAGCCAGGAGTTTGAGACAAGCCTGGGTAGCATAGTTAGACTTCATCTCTATTTAAAAAAAAAAAAAAAAAAATGCCGGGCTCGGTGGCTCAGCCTGTAATCCCACGCCTTGGGAGGCTGAGGTGAGTGGATTGCCTAAGGTGAGTGGGTTCGAGACCCACCTGGGCAACTTGGTGAGACCTCATCTCTACAATAAATCAAAAAATTAGCCGGGCGTGGTAGCGTGCGCCTGTAGTTCCAGCTACTTGGAAGGCTGAGGTAGAAGGATCGCCAGAGCCCAGCAGGTCGAGGCTGCGATGGCCGGGAGCGGCCACTGCACTCCAGTTTGGGTGAGAGTGAGACTCCAACTCAAAAAAAAAAAAAAAAAAAAAAAATGTGCCTGTAACCCCAGCTACTCAGAAATGGGAGGATAGCTTGAGGCCAGAAGTTCAAGGTTACAATGAGCTATGACTGCACCACTGAGCTCCAGCCTGGGCGACAGAGCAAAACTCTGGCTTAACAAAACAAAATGAAACAAAAAAAGAAATAGAAATGGAAAGAAATGGACACAAGATTCCTTTGTGGTAAATTAAAATTCTGTAATATCAAATTCTTTAAAGAAACACTAAAGGTATAATGCCTACTTTTAACACTAATTTGTGTGTCTTGTTTGGGCAGTTCTTAATGCTTCTGGAAGAATATTTCTAGCTAAGACTTTAACCACCATGATTATATGACATATAGTATACAAAATTTTATATTTTTAGATTCAAGAGGCACATGTGCAGGCTAGTTACATAGGTATACTGCATGATGGAGACATTTGGGCTTCTACTGAGCCTGCCTTCCAGGTGGTGAGCATGGTACCCGACAGGTTGTTTATCAACCCCTATGTCCTCTTCCTTCCTCCCTGAGTTATTAATCCTCAGTGTCTGTGTTCCCATCCATGTGCCCATGTGTGCCCAGGGTTTGGCTCCCACTCATGAATGAGAACATGCAGTATCCAATTTTCTGTTTGTGATAATTTGCTTATAATAATGGCCTCCAGCTGCATCCATGTTGCTGCAAAGAACATGATTTTGTTCTTTTTTATGGATGCATAGTATTCCATGGTGTCTAGTACCACATTTTTAAAATCCAGGCCACTGCTGCTGGGCATCTAGGTTGGTTCCATGTTTTTGCTACCGTGAATAATGCTGCTACACACATACAAGTGCAGGTGTTTTTTTGGTAGAACAATTTATGCTTCTTTGGGTATATACTCACTAGTGAGATTGCTGGGTTGAGGGGGAAATCTATTTTGAATTATTTGAGAAATCTCCAAACTGCTCTCCACAGGGGCTGAACTAGCTTACATTCTCAACAACAGCACACGAGCATTTGTAACTTTGCCTACATCTGTTGTTTTTTATTTTATTTATTTATTTATTTATTTTGAGTTTGAGTCTCACTCTGTCACCCAGACTGGAGTGCAATGGCCGCTCCCGGCCACCGCAGCCTCGACCTGCTGGGTTCCAGTGATCCTTCCGCCTCAGCCTTCCAAGTAGCTGGAACTACAGGCGTGCGCTACCATACCTGGCTAATTTTTGATTTATTGTAGAGATGAGGTCTCGCCAAGTTCCCCAGGCAGGTCTTGAACCCGCGGGCTCAGGCAATCCACTCACCTCGACCTCCTAAAGTGTTGAGATTACAGGCTGAGCCACCCAGCCCAGCCTGTTGTTTTTTAATAATAGCCATCCTGACTGGTGTGAGATGGTATCTCATTGTGGTTTTGATTTGCATTTCTCTGATGATTAGTTATGCTGAATATTTATTCACATGTTTGCTGAGTGCTTGTATGTCTTCCTTTGAGAAGTATTTGTTCATATCTTTTGCCCATCTTTTAATGGGGTTATTTGTTTTTTTTTTTTTTCCTGTAGATTCATTTGAGTTCCTTATAGATTCTGTATATTAGGCCTCTGCCAGATGCCCAGGTTACAAATATTTTCTCCCATTCTGTGGGCTGTCTCTTTATTCTGTTGATGGTTTCTTTTGTTCTGAAGAAGCTTTTTAATTTTGCTACCTTTGTTTTTGAGGATTTGGTCATAAATCGATTGCTTAGGCCAATGTCCAGGAGAGTGTTTCCTAGGTTTTCATCTAAGATTTTTATAGTGTAGGGATCTTACATTAAGTATTTAATCTACTTTGAGTTAATTTTTATATATGGTGATATGTAGGGCTCCAGTTTCATTCTTCTATATATGGTTAGCCAGTTTTCCCAACACCATTTGTTGAATAGGGTATCTTTTCTCCAATGTTTGTTTTTGTTGGTTTTGTCAAAGATGAGTTAGTGGTTTTATTTCTGGGTTCTCCATTCCATTCCATTGGTCTATGTGGATATTTTTGTACCAGTGCCATGATGTTTTGGTTACTGTAGAGTTGTAGTAAAGTTTGAAATCTGGCAATGTGATGCCTCTGGCTTTGTTCTTTTTGCTTAGGATTGCTTTGGCTTTTCGGGCTCTCTTTTAGTTCTATATAAACTTTAAGATTGTTTTTCTAGTTCTGTGAAAATGATGCTATTTTGAAAGGGATTGTGTTTAATATGTAGATTGCTTTATGAAGTACAGATATATTAACAATATTGATTCTTCCAGTCCATAAGCATGAAATGTTTTCCATTTGTTTGTGTCATTTTTGATTTTTTTCAGCAGTGTTTTGTAGTTCTCATTGTAGAGGTCTTTCCGAGGTATTTATTTATGGCTATATTATTGGTTCTCAGCCTGTTTGTCACTGGTATATAGAAATGCAACTGATTTTTGATCACTGATTTTGTTTCCTGAGACTTTACTAAAATCATTTATCAGTGCTAGGAGTTTTTTAAGTAAAATCTTTTGGGTTTTCTAGATATATAATCATATCATCTGTAAGGAGAGACAATTTAACTCCCTCTTTTCTTTTTTGGATACCTCTTATTTCTTTCTCTTGCCTGATTGCTCTGGCTAGGACTTCCAGTACCATGTTAAATAGAAGTAGCACAATCACAATACTATATTTTAAATATAACCAATGGTGTACTGGTAAATGTTTAACAAGTGGATCTCCAAAAAAGATCCTTTTTATATAGGTGCATATCATTATTATAAATTTTACTGATATAAAGAATGTGCAGCACACAGTTTACAAGTACACAACAATCTGCTCTGCAAATTCTATATAGACATTTGATTCTTACAGAATACTTTTATTGCTGTTTGCCCAACTTCTGCATCCATAACCAAGTTTGAGAAAACCAGGCTACAAATATATGCTTGATGACTATCTGATTCAGCAAAGAAGTCACTCATCTCACTGATGATGAGTGTAATGTCACCATGAATGTTGGCTGATATTTTTGCTTATAGTAATAAGTGAGATTAAAATGAAGCAATAAAAATACAGGTCAGAACTTCACTCTTTGTCATTTACATGAGTGACCTATATGATTTGCAGCATTTGCTGATTTTTTGTTGTTGTTGTTATAGATACTTCCACCATGCCCTATTGTAAGTATAACAAGATGTGACTGAATGAAGAGTTGGGAAGAGAGGGCAGTAGCACACCATTATAGAGTATTTCATAATCTCAAGAGCATAGATAAGGGGAAATGGAGTACAATAATTAAGAAGTGATTCATGTTGAGTATTAATTACTTTGTTAATGTAAGTTATTTAATTGTAAGTTTACATAATTTTTTTAAATGCCATGCTTAACAAATGGCTCACAAAATGCCTTAAAATTTAGCAACTGGCTTTTGGCTTCAGAATAGTCAATAGAGGAACATTTTATTTCTTTATTTCCCAAAACTTTCTAAACTACTATTTTAAAAATATGATTTAGTCTGAAGAAAACAAGGAGGGTTTATCACTTACCAAGAAGAGGAGGCAGTGGAGGCAATGTAGGTAACTTAAAAAGCCCTAAAATTTTACCTCCAAGGACAGCACAATAGAATAGGATTATAATTCCAAATAGGTTTCCTCCAGGAAGACACTCACTGCCAGTAACTGACCACACTACAGCCCACAGAAGAACAATGATGGTAACTAAAATAAATCAGGAAAACCAGTTACTATCAATAAATTGCCATATTCAGGTTTTGACATAATCTAAAATAATTTTTAAAAATAAATATTGCATGCATATACAAATATTTACAATCACGTTTAATTTGTAAAGAGCATCAGTAATGTGTACCACTGGGTAATTGCAAACCATCTTAATAGGCTATCACCAGTACTTCTGAGTCTACCTATGTGTCCCTCCCCATCCATCCCCCATCGCCCTTCACATTGCCAGAAAAAAATATTATTTTGATTTTTTAAAATCTTATTTTTCTTTATAATTTTGCCACAAATATGTATCAGTAGTTCATATTATAAAGAAAAATAATCTCTGTCTTTACCTTCTTCACAGGAACATGAGAATACTTAAACTCCAATCAAACTCCAATATTTTAGTTTTACCTTGAATTAAACATTACTGTTTCTTTTTTACACTCAATGTTAAGAATTACCTACATACTTACCTTTTTAAGTCATCATTCATTATGGCATCTTAAACCTTTCACGTGGGACAATTATCTTACTGCCTAAAGCATCTAAGCATCTCTATTAGAATGGGAAATATGTCTCCTTGTTGAAAACTTGTGTCCTATAAAATTGTACACTAAAAATAGAAGAAGGCTTATGGGAAAACAGAGTTGGGGCAGACCATTCAAAACTCAAAACTTGTGATGAAAGCAATAATGAAAACAAAAATAATCCTAATAAAAGTAGCTGGGCACAGTGGCTCACATCTGTAATCACAGCACTTTGGAAGGCGGAAGTAGGAGGACTGCTTGAGGCCAGGAGTTTGAGACCTGGCTGGGCAACATAGCGAGGCCTCATCTTTACAAAAAAAAAAATAATAATAGTAATAATAAATTACCTAGGTATAGTGGTGTGTGCCTGTAGTCCCAGCTATCTGGGAGGCTGAGAAAGGAGAATCACCTGAGTCCAGAAGGTCGAGGCTGTGCTGAGTGATCGTGCCACTGCACTTACAGCCTAGACCACAGAGTGAGACCACCACCACCAAAAAAAAAAGTACTAGCACATTTAAATCTCCATTGACATTTGTATCCCACACAGGCAGTCTGTTCTTTAATCTGGAACCACATTTTCTACTTCAAAATGTATATTTTTGAGAGCATTTGCTTTAAATAGTGACCAGTTCCATCAAAATCTGATCCATATTGTAGTACTCTCCATCAATAAAAACGTGTTTGTTTTTTTTAAACTGAGGGATAAGTGTTGGCAGCTTCTTAATTCATACTTTCAGCTGCTTCATCCATAGTGTAGTTTTATTAAATAGTTTAATATTGTAGGATGTTTAGGAGCTCTTGATGCCCCTAAACAAGCTACTAACTATATGAAAAGAAAGCACTTCACAGGGATTTTGGGTTTTAAATGGTCCTCATTTGAGGAAGGTTTCACCTTTAATTGTTAGAAAGCATGTAATGATCTCTCTTTTTTTAGTTTTCAGTTCACTCTATCTTCACTTGCTATTCTTAATATACAAAATACTAATGTACCAAGAAAAATTATACACACAAATGCTACATCCATATTACATTGACACAATCCCCCTATTTACCATGGCATATAAGCTAATTCATGGTTTAGAAACACTTTGTATCAGAGCATGCTATGTTTCTTGTGAGAATCTGTTGCTGATAAATTCTTAGTTTTAGTGCCTGGAATTATCTTTATTCTCTTTCTCTAGTTGTTTCTAGATATAACTCAGTTTACCTCAATTTCTAGGTTGACAGTTATTTTATCTTTGAAAATATTATTCCTTGGTTTTCTGGCTTTCATTATTGCCAGAGTAATGTGCAGAAAAACAAGTTGATGAGCTGTTTCTCTATTGTGAACCTCATTTTCCAGGCTGCTTTATGAACAATAATCATAAAATTTTTAAAAATGAGTCTCAAAACCACATCATTCGTTTTAACCCTTTCCTTATATCAACCTGTATCTATTTTATTGTAAATGTTTTAACTACAAATATGCTATATTTTGAATAGAAAAAATTTTTTAAATAATAAAAAAGTCAGAATAGGTATCAAATTATCTGTTGCCTTAACAGCTGTGTGTGTATATTTTGGAAACTGGTTTTCTCTATGTGTTCTAAATAAAGTTTTTTTTCTTCCATGCTAGTTCAGAACCTTACTTGATTTCATTAAAGACATACCTAGAGCCTAAACATAACATATCATACTTGGCTTTCATTGCCCCAAGTGAAAATGGTAAAAATGGCTTTCGGAGCTCAAAATGAAGTAAAGCTATAAAAAAATGGAGTCTCATTTTTTAGTAAACAACAAATATCTTCAATAAATCTGTCATTCTTCAACATAATTTTTGAAATTGTCTTTAAGTTTGCTTTTATAGTAGGACCTCAAACTTTAAAACTACCAGAGGAAAAAACATGAGGGAAAAGCTCCATAATATTGGTCTGGGTAATGACTTTTTAAAGTTATGTCTTTTAAAATAAGACCCCAAGCTGGGCGCAGTGACTCATGTCTGTAATCCCACTACTTCGTGAGGCAGAGGCAAGAGGATTTCCTGAGCCCAGGGGTTCGAGCCTGTGGAATGTGGCAAGACCTTGTCCCTACAATAAGTAAAAATACTTAGCCGGTTGTGGTAGCACATGCCTGTGGTTCCAGCTACTTGGAAGGCTGAGGCAGAAGGATCACCTGAGCCCAGCAGGTCGAGGCTGCAGTGGCCATGAGTATGCTACTGCACTCCAGCCTGGGACACAGAGTGAGACTCCTACTCAAACAAACAAACAAATAAATAAATAAACGTGACGCCACAGAGTGAGATTCCTACTCAACTAACTAACGAAATCAATATAATATAATAAAATAAAATATGACTCCAAAAGTACAGGCAACAAAAGTACAAATAGACAAATGGGTTTACATCAAACTAGAAAGCTTGGCACAGCAAAGGAAACAATTAACAGAGTAAAGAGACAATGTACAGAATGGGAGAAAATACTTGCAAACCATACATCTGATAAGGGGTTAATATAAAAATATATAAGAAATTCAATTCAATAGCAAGATAACAAATAAGCTGATTTTAAAATGGGCAAAGAACCTGAACACACATTTCTCAAAAGAAGACACACAATCAGCCAATAGATATGTAAAAAAATTTTAGCATTTTTCATCAGGGAAATGCAAATTAAATGCACAATGAGAAATCAATTCTCAACTATTAGAATGGTTATTGCCAAAAACACAAAGATAATAGGGGTTGGAAGAGATGTGAAGAAAAGAGAACCCTTACACACTGTTGGTGGGAATGTAAATTAGTACAGTCACTATGGAAAGCAGTATGAAGGTTTCTAAAAAAATTTTAAAATAGAACTATTATATGATCCAGCAATCTCATTACTGGGTATATATCCAAAGGAAAAAAAATAAGTATGTCAAAAAGATATCTACACACCCAGGCTTATAGCAGCACTATTCACAATGGCCAAGATATGGTGTCAACCTAAGTGTCTACTAATGGATAAATAAAGAAAATGTGATATATATACACAGTGGAATACTATTTAACCATAAAAATAATGAAATTCTGTTATTTGAAACAACATGGATGAAACTGGAGAACATTATGTTAAGTGGAATAAGCAAGAAAGAAAAATGCTGCATATTCTCACTCATATGTGGAATCTAAAAAAGTTGATCTCACAAAAATAGTGAATAGAACAGTGGCTACCAGAGACTGGGTAGGGGAGAGGAGGGAGTATGGGGAGAGGATGATCAGTGGGTACAAAGTTACAATTAAATGGAAGAATAGGTTTGGTGTTCTGTTGCACAGTAGGGTGACTATAGGCAACAGCAAGGTATTAGTTAGAAGAGACAATTTGTGTTCTGACCACAAAGAAATGACAAATGTTTGAGGGGATGGATATACTAACCATTCTGACTTGATTATTACACAATGTGTACATGAATCAAAACATCACATTCTACTGCCAAATATTTATAATTATTTTTTGTTAATTAAAAATAAAAATTAGCTGGGCATGGTGGATCACACCTATAATCCCAGAACTTTTAGAGGCAGAGGCGAGAGGATTGACTGAGCCCAGGGGTTTGAGACTACCCTGAGCAACTTGGTGAGACCTCGTCTCTACAGTAAATAAAAAAGTAAGCCGGGCGTGGTGGTGTACCCTGTAGTCTCAGCTATTTGGGAGTCTAGGTGGAAGGATTGTGTGAGTCCAGAAGGTCTAGACTGTGGTACCCATGAGCATGCCACTGCACTCCAGCCTGGGCAACAGAGTGAGACTCCAACTAAAAAAAGCAATAATAATAAATAAAAATTAGCTAATTAATTACTTTAAGATGCTTGTGTTTCTAAACTATTTAATTTTGATGTCAAAATTATCTTTGGAAAATATGAACTATGAAAGTGAAAACTTGTGGAGTAATTCCAAGCACTTAAGGGTGGCAGGTAGACAATGTCAATGCATTTTTGTTAATCTTTTTTTTTTTTTAATAATTTTTTTTTTTTTTGAGTTGGAGTCTCACTTTGCCACCCAGGCTGGAGTGCAGTGGCATGCTCACGGTCACTCCTGTTGACCTGATGGGCTCCGGCGATCCTTCTACCTCAGCCTTCCAAGTAACCAGAACTACAGGCACACGCTGCCACCCCAGCTAACTTTTTTTTTAAATTGTAGAGACGAGGTCTCGTCAAGTTGCCTAGATTGGTCTCGAACCTGCAGGCTCAGGTAACCCTCTCACCTTGGCCTCCCGAAGTGCTCGTATTATGGGCTGAGCCACCAAGCCCAGCCTGTTTGTAGATCTTAAATTTGAAGATGTATGAAATACACACACACACACACACACACACACACACGGCACTCATATATAACCTAAACTTTGTTTGTTGGTCAAAGGATACAAAATTTCAGTTAGACAGGAGAAATAAGTTCAAGAGATCTATTGTACAACATGACTAGAGTTAGTAATATATTGTATTTTTTTTGTTTGTTTGTTTTTTATTTTTTTGAGTTGGAGTCTCACTCTGTCGCCCAGACTGGAGTGCAGTGGCCGCTCCCGGTCACGGTAGCCTCGACCTGCTGGGTTCCGGTGATCCTTCCGCCCCAGCCTTCCGAGTAGCTGGAATTACAGGCGCGCGCTACCATGGTAGGCTAATTTTTTGATTTATTGTAGAGATGAGGTCTCGCCTGCCCAGGTGGGTCTCAAACCCGCGGGCTCAGGCAAGCCACTCACCTCAGCCTCCCAAAGGCAAGGGATTACAGGCTGAGCCACCGAGCCCGGCAATATATCGTATTCTTAAAAAATGCTAAAGAAAGTGGAGGTGAAGTGTCATTACCACAAAAAATAATAACTATGTGAGGTAATACAAATGATTATTAGATAGATTCAGTCATTCCACAATGTATATATACTTCAAAACATCATGTTGTGAATACATTCAATTATATTTGCTAATGTAAAAATAAAATTTAAAAATCTCTCTAAAAAGGAATATCTTCTAAAGAAATAAATAATTTGCCTTTACAGATAATTTTTAAGTCTTTTCTCCTTTTTCTTACTATATTGCACATCCCACAACATATACAACACACACACACACACACACACACACACACACACACACACACACATGCACATATTTCCTTTTTGAACACAAATTAGCATTACTGCATCTGAACATTCATTTATTCATCAAACTGATATCTGAATAACCTTTGGCTGTCTCCAAAAACCAAATCCATTCCGAAAAGGCAAATATATTTCAATCCCAGCAGTATTCAAAATAGTGCTGAGATGAACTCCCCAAGTAAAATCCCAAAATATTTTTAGTAATTGCAGTTCTACTAAAACAAACTGAATTATAAGATCTTTACTTATAAAATGAGAGCACACATTTGGAAGTATAAATGGGGCTGTATTTGATCAAATACTAGTTGCATTACTTAACAATAATAACAACTGCCATTTATGTAGTGCTTTAGGTAGCCCTAAAGTAATCCTGTGAAATTATCCAAGAAAAAGGTACTTGATTTGTGTCCTTTTTACCCTGTTGCTGGGGAGGTGATCCTGGAAACCATGTTGAAGACCCCTGTCAGCCTGGGCCCTTCCCTTGAATTACTGTATGGAGCAGAACCACCTATCATTGTGAATTGTTCACCTAGTATTAACAGTTTCTATGTGAAAAGTAAATGTCTTTATTCTGTAGACCATATTATTTAGAATTTCTCATTATAACAACTTAATATTTTTACTCTCCCTTTCTGAATTCATTCTTCCCATTTACATACCATTTGTTATTACTCTGTCCAGTAAACCACGTGGAGGGCAAGCCAGTGTTTGTCTCAGTCTTTGCAAGTGATTTGCTTCAGTTGCTGTTTCTTGTAGCTTTTTTTCGTTGCTTTTCAAGAGGTTACTTCCTTCTGTTGGTTCATTTTCATCTATACCTTTGAAGTTCATAGCTGTCTCCTCCTGTATTTAATGCAATTTTTAAGATCCTTAAAATTGTATATCTTCTACACATTTCTATAGTTACCAAAATATCATAATACAAATCAAATTTCCATTACAAGAATCAGGGATAACACTTCATGAGAAAAATGAACAATTTTATTACTTGCTAATCAGTTGATGTTCAAAACAAGAATTACGTTTGGAGAATTTAGTTCTGTCACTATTTTTAGTACAGGTTGAGCATCTCTAATCGAAAAATCCAAAATCTGAAATGCTCCAAAATCTGAAACTTTTTGAGCAACAACCTGATGACACAAGTGGAAAATTCCACATGTGACCTCATGTGATAGGGTGCAGTCAAATGTAACTTTGTTTCATGCACAAAATTACTAAAATATGGTATAAAATTACCTTCAGACTATGTGAATAATGTACATATGAAAGGAACATAAATGAATTTCTTGTTTACACTTGGGTCCCATCCCTAAGACATCTATGTGCATGCAAATATTCTAAAATCTGAAAAACTCCCAAATCCCAAACACCTGTGGTTCCAAACATTTTGGATAAATGATACTCAATCTGCAATCTAAATACCTGGGACACATAAAATTTCAATACTGGGTTTAAAAATCAGCATATTTAAGATACAATTCAGGGCAATCGTTGGCACATATACCAAAGTGGTTCAGAAAAAGATAGTTCTCTGTGATAAGAACCAATTTACATTCATTCATCTACTTGAATTTAAGCAGTAAAAAGAGGGAGAAAAGAAATCAAACCCATTCTAGGGATTAGGCCAGGAACACAAAGCTTTCACAGGCTCTCTGTTTTTCCAGCTTCAGGTAGGGCCAGCTGCTAATGGTGTCAGCTGGCGGGGGAAAAAGTTGATCTCACAGAAACAGTTGCCATGAACTTTATGAGTTTGGGGATTATGAACGGGGAGAATTGTTAGTTGAGAGATAGAGTATGAAAAGAACCTAATTCTATCATAGCTTGCAAATACTTCCTTAAAGAAATGGCTGGGATGATCTACATCTGATCATAGATTTACCTGTGTTTCTTGATGTGCAGAGTCTGTGCGATTCATCTCTGTGGATGGTTCTGAATCTTTACATTCAATTGTTTTATCTTCATCTTCCATGATTTATAATTAAGAAGATAACAGAGGGAAGAGGAACAAGATCTGTTTTGAAGGAGAAACAGTATATAGAGAGAGCAGCAATCTGAAAATCTTTGGCGCTCAAAAATGTTGGAATTATACTTATTTCTTCTCTTAGAACCTGAATGGTTAAAATATTTTTAATTAGACTATTCTTAACTTTCAATTTCTGATCTGTTGTAGTTCCAGCTACTTGGAAGGCTGAGGCGGAAGGATCGCCGGAGCCCAGCAGGTCGAGGCTGCGAAGGCCAGGAGTGGCCACTGCACTCCAGTCTGGGTGACAGAGTGAGACTCCAACTCAAAAAAATAAATAAATAAAACAAAAAATAATAACAACAACAGATATTAAGAAGGGTGATTCTAGCTGGGCTCAGTGGCTCAGCCTGTAATCCCGCGCCTTTGGGAGGCTGAGGTGAGTGGATTGCTTGAGTCCGCGGGTTCGGGACCTGCCTGGGCAACTTGGCGAGACCTCATCTCTACAATAAATCAAAAAATTAGCCGGGCGTGGTAGCGCATGCCTGTAGTTCCAGCTACTTGGAAGGCTGAGGCGGAAGGATCGCCGGAGCCCAGCAGGTCAAGGCTGCGGTGGCCAGGAGCCACCGCACTTCTGTCTGGGCGACAGAGTGAGATGCCAACTCAAAAAAAAAAAAGGAAGATGATTCTGCATCTTCAAGAAAATGAAAAGAAAAAAGTGTGAGTATATTTTCTGTTTCAAAAAGCATTAAAATATATAGTAAAATTAAGAGACTTTCTTTAAAGAGAATATTATCCTTAAAAAAAATTGGTTAAATAGATGTCAGCTATCCAGAAAATTAATTTAAGTGAAATGCTTTGTTTTTCAACAGTGCTGGCAAAATGAAATATTGTAGGTACTGGACCTTACTAAGATTTTCATTGTGTTCATGAAAGTCTTTTAAGATGTAAATGCTAAACTACTTCTTTGGTCCCAGAGAAGGTTCAATAGAGTTTTTAAAAATCTGTCTGAAATGGGTGTCTGGGAGGGAAAATTCAAAAGTGGGGGAAATATAGAGAAACTAGATAGTTTCAAAGTAACTAAAAACCACAGATAAATGGACTAATAAAAGTTGGTAAGGTCTTAAATAAGAAGGACTTATATAGTCCTATCTTGTTAACATTAAATTGAAAAAACCAGATTAGAGACACTAACTTACACCAGCCAACATTAGCCAAATCTCATAGTAGAACTGTAAACAAATTTGTGAGACAGTTCTTCCATCTATACCTTTGACCTCATGTCATTTCTATCAAATCACTGCATTATATTTTTTTAGTTTTTCCTATGAGGGGGACTCCAAAAAATAGTAAATATTTTTTAGAGGGTAGACCCCTTATAGTACAAGCTTTTCCCACTAGGAAAATTTACTAGGAACCTGTCAGCATCAGTGTACCAGCATTGTAAGAGGCTGCATTCGACTTCAGTGATTTATTATTTTTTTTTGGAGATACTTTCAGCATGTTTGCCCATTTCCTGATGGGTGATTTATGAGGGCACCTGCCCATACCACACTGAGTGTTCAGTAGTTTTTGACCAAAAATGGCATCACCCCCAGGTCCCATGCTCCCTAGTCACCTGATCTCGCCCCAAGTGACTTTTTTTGTTTCCCTCAGTGAAAAAAGTCCTCAAAAGGAAACATTTTGCTGATGTGGAGGAGGTGAAACAAAAAAACAGCAGAAGCACTAAAGGCATTAAAATAGTTTTTAAGCTGTGGAAAAGCATCTTGATAGGTGATTTGCATCAAACGAAGAGTATTTTGAAGGTGACTGAATAAATACACAATTTTTTAGAAATAAAAATTTGGGGTTTTTTGGGGGTCCCCTTCATATTTTAAAATTCCACTTATATATACTAATATTCAATTATAAGTTTGAAAACACATTTCTTTTTTTTTTGAGTTGAAGTCTCACTCTGTCACCCAGACTGCAGTGCAGTGGCCGCTCCTGGCCACCACAGCCTCGACCTGCTGGGCTCTGGCGATCCTTCCGCCTCAGCCTTCCGAGTAGCCGGAATTACAGGCGCGCGCTACCACGCCCGGCTGATTTTTTGATTTATTGTAGAGATGAGGTCTTGCTGCCCAGGCGGGTCTCAAACCCGCGGGCTCAGGCAATCCACTCACCTCAGCCTCCCAAAGGTGCGGGATTACAGGCTTGAGCCATCGAGCCCGGCTTGAAAACACATTTCAAAAGCAAATATAAATATTTTTATTTTCTACTTTGCATTATCTTCAGCTTTACTCTTTCCTACAGTTATACATGTTATAAACTTTATTAAAAGCAAAAAGTTATTAATCCATTTAGATTCTACAACATTGTTTAAAAATGATTATAAAATGTCTACTGATGTGACAAATATTGTTTTCAAATTCTGAATTATTAGTTAATTGGCTAAGTCATAACTTACCATTTAGGTATGCCTTAAGGTTCTAAGAATTAAGGTGCTTTTCTTAAAATAAAAACTAGTTAAACTGAGATGCTGTGAGATACTTTTGTATATCAGAAAATTATATGAAAATAATAAACAGGAAGAATAGGAAGGCAAGATATCTTTTTGATAAACACTAAAAATGCCTATACACAGAAACAACTGATTTTTTTCTGCATCTCCATCAAGACATTGCATTATTTAAACTAATACACGTTAAATTATATTAGAAAAAAATTGTTGATCTGCTTCAAATGGTAAAATTTCACAGATCTTATAAGTTTAGTAAATAATATGAATTTAATCAAAGTTCTATGGCACAAATACAGATTTTAATGGAAGGGCAAGTATCTGACCTAAGCCAAAAGACTTGGCCTGTTATGACTGTTGTGATTGCCCACTTGCTGTTAGATTAGAAGCTTAGGTGTTTTCTAAAAACACATGTGAACAATGTAAATCATTTATACCTCGCTTCAGCAAATCCAATATTCAGAATTCCCTACAGGACTGATTCCCATGCTTAGAAACTACCTTGGTTTAATCTGAAATTTATTTTCCCATATTAGGAACAAATATGCCACCAAATTATAGAGCTGTGAACTTGAAAGGAAGCTCCTTAATCTTTCCTCCATACTTGAAAGAAAACTGCACTTATTATTGTACTTATTCAATCAAGAATATGAGCAGTTCAAAATATGTACATTTACTTATATTTATATTTATTTATTTATTTATTTATTTGTCTTTGCCAAGAAATAGCGTTTATTCGTGCCAGCACTGGCTCAGTGGATTTGCATCCAAAGGCTGAGCTGTGGTTGGACTTTCATTTGATTTTTTACATTTTTAAGATTCAATAAGATTTTCTGATGCAATTTAAAATACATTTTAAAAATCTATGCAATTCTTAAAGCTTTAGAGAAAAAAAAAAATCACAGTTTTCCTTGGTAGTTGTTTCACAGATACATTCTAGTGATGTGATTTGAAGTAACTTAATTTCACTTGCCACATACTTGTTTTCTTTTTTTTTTAGAGTTGAAGTCTCACTCTTGTCACCCAGGCTGGAGTGCAGTGGCACACTCACGGCCACCACAGCCTCTACCTGCTGGGCTTAGGCGAAGTAGCTGGAACCACAGATGTCCGCACCACATCCAGCTAGTTTTTGTGATTTATTGTAGAAATAAAATCTCACCAAGTTGCCCAGGCTGGTCTCGAACCCCCGGTCTGAGGCAATTCTCTCACCTGGGCCTCCCAAAGTGCTGGGATTATAGGCTGAGCCACCATGCTTGGCCTGTGGTTTTCAAACATGGGGCACTGCCTTGACTCTTCTATAGCAGTAGTTTTAAAACATTTTAAGTCAAATATCTTTCATCAAACGAAACCTTATCCTTAAATCTTACAAATGGAGCAGATAAAGGTGAAGCTGCAGGAACCCTGTCCACTCACCCTGGTTCTTCTTGGCAAGTGAAGCCTATGGCAGAAACTACTTCTATAATTATGCTTTCACATATAGAGAGATATTTGTTAAATCAGTCTTCTCTTTTCAGGTTATCCTACTAATCTAAATGTTTCCAAGTGTTTTCTGTAATATTCCAGAGGAAATAAAGGAACCATCAACTTGCAAATGTACACAGGCTCTCAGTCAAGTAAAATATGCTTACTGTAATCATTTCAATTATGCTAAAAGATCATTACATGGATAATGGCTGGTTATTCTTGTTATTTGCTGTCTATGGTATGGACAGGCTGATATTGAATAGGGTAGGGTAATTTTATTGAGGATTTACATATATTGCTTGCTATGTTTAAAAGTCTGTGCCCTTCCAAAATTCAAAAGTTGGAAGTTAATCCCCAAGGTAATGGCATTAAAAGGTGAGACCTTTCTGGAAGTGATTAAGTCACCTGTGCTCCACCCTTACAACTGCGATTAATGCTCTTATAAAAGAGGTTGAAAGGAGCATCCTAGTCCCTTTTGCTCCTTCCCTTCCACTATGTGTAGACACAGCCTTTCTCCCTTCCTCCAGGTGAGGACGCAAGCAGAGAGCAAGTCCTTACCAGACATCAAATTTGCTGGCACCTTGATCTTGGACTTCTCAGCTCCAGAACTGTGAGGAATAAATTTATATTATTTATATATTACCTAGTTTGTAGTGTTTTGTTATAGCAGCACAAATGGTCTAAGACATTGCTAGAGTACTCTATGTGCTGTATGCATGCCTTTGAAAGAGCATCACCATGATTATTCATTAAATATCCTACAGTGGTTATAATAATAACAATCTCCTATCTTTGGTGTTCATCTATTCATGTGTTTAAAGCATAGGTTCTCAGTCTTATATGATTTTTCTATATAGAACACACATGGAAATATTCCAGTTGCTGGATTCTGCTTATCAACCCTGCTCTAATGCTCATTTCCCAAAAGGAGCCCTACCCAGCAATGAGGAATTTAGATAAGGCTGCCCAGTAGGGCTTAAAATTTTCCTTGACAAATAATTACTGAAATGAATAAGAATGTTTCCCTGAATGAGAACTGCCTTATCTGAAAGTGTTAAGTGTGTCAACTACGTGGGGCCAAGTCACCAAAGGAAAACAACTGCTATTCTATTTGGTTAATTATTCAAATGATTTTGTTGACTCATGAAGTAAAATACTATATAATAAGCTATGAATAAAAGGAAAGTATGCCTGGGTAAGAAGGGACCCAATATTTGCCTCTAACCTTTCTATTCTCTCTCCCAACCAACAGCAAGTGTATCTATTGAAAGCTTAAAATATTATTTTTAGGCCTACTAAAATCAGAATCTCCAGAGACTGAATCTCCACCCAAGTGTGGCAGACATGACTGATTGCCCATCTAAATGCCATTTATCCAAGGTATGCCAGTGGGTTCCTTAAGCCCTAAGGATAAATCATGACTAGTCTAGATCAATCTGTGTAACGCCAGTCCCCTTTGCCACTTGTTGGTTTAGGGTTGAGCATGGTTCATTTCTTGCCAAGGGAATTTGTAGACAAGACTATTGGGATTATTGGGGAAGATTTCCTTCCAAATAAAAATACAGCAGGATGAAAAAATCCTCTCTTCTTTTTGTCTTTATATGCTTGTGTGTGTGTGTGTGTGTGTGTGTGTGTGTGTATGAGTGGGAAGTAGAGTTGTAGTTGTGGATGGTACTGTGCTTCCTGGAACAATTCTAGCAGCCATCATTCACCCATGAAGAAAAGTCCAGATTAGCTAATCACAGAACACAACCTAGAACCCCAATATCACTGAGTGATTGACCAAATCCTGGACCCACTTACCTTCAGACACCTTATTACATGAGAAAAGTATATTTATATTTCTAAAGAAACTGTTAGCTAAATATCTTGTTACTTGCAACCCAAAGTATCCTAACAAATACAACAGGTGATTTTTGAAGCAGAACCAGCTCTGAGAAACTCTGATAAAGAACAGGATTAAACTCTAAAGACCTTCATATGTCAGAAAATGTGAGTCACTTTGCTCACATCATAAGTACAGCATGAATTACACCTGATCCATTGAATTTCAAACTTCTATGTGGCAGAAACTATAATGAATTCATATTTGTATCTTATGTTTCCAAGGCTGCTTGGCACAAAAGAAGACACAGGTATTTGCTCAATTAAAATGTTTCCTTCTTGAATGAGAAAAACAGGAAAGCAGAACTTCATGAGAGTACCATGCAGCAGCAATAGCTGTCAAGTGAGCTCCCGTTATAGACGGGGTAGGGAAAGACGTTTTAGACTTTTAGGGAAAACAGATGTTGACCTGCCTAAACTGTCTGCTCAGTCTTGATCTGCTGGTTGTGTTAATTTTTCTGGGAGGCTAAAGGAAAGGGTGGCTCCCTGATGTTAATCTTTGGGGAGACAAATCACACCAGAGTGTAACGTGAGATAACAAAGATGAGATAAACTGATGCCGGGGAGTGAAAAAAGCCCAAGCCACAACTGTGTGCTTTGAATAGTCAATGGAATCCCTGGTCCACAAAAACAAAATCTTCTGGTTGATTTAAGAACTAAAACAAAAGTAAACAAGAAAGACCCACTCCCACAAAACTTGACAACAGAAAACACACACACGCATGCACACACGCCACTGGGTGTACAAACAGAAAGAGTTGGGCCCTCGCTACAGGTGTCCGGCCCCGCAAGGCCTACAAGGTTCCCGCCGCGGGCGTCGGGTTTATTTGCGCTCCAAGCCTCCCGGGGCCTCTCACCTGGCGGTCTCCGGCGGAGTCGACCCGGCTCAGTCCCACCAGTTAGGAAATGGGCTGCGGGGCAGGCGGCAGAGCCTCGTGTTGCCACCGCGCGCTGGATTTCCGGGTTGGCGCATCGTCCCAGGCGGCGCCCCAAGGCAGCAGTTATTGTAGATAACGGGGCTCAGGCCACGGCGCCGGCGTGGGTGTCTTAAATAATTTCATGGAATGTTTGTTCCAGGGTGGTCACTGTCTCTCTTTCTGCCTTAGGAAGTTCAATTAATCTTAGGTTTGGCCTCTTGAAACAATTGCTCATCTCTTGAAGGTTTTGCTCTGTCTTTTTAAACTTCTTTTCTATGTTTTTGACAGTTTGGATTAATTCCATATTTTGGTCCTTAAGCTCTGAGATTCTTTCTTCTGCTTGGCTAATTCTGCTTTCCATGCTTATCAGTTTGTTATTTATTCCATTCATTATATTCTTTATTGCTGTCATCTCATTTATCAATTCCTTCATTCTTTTCTCTTGTCTCTCCTCAATTCTATTTATTCTCTCTATCAATATCTTGATATCTGGGTTTGTGGTTTCTGACAAGTCATTCTGGGGCTCTTCACTGTTTGCATTCCAAAGACTGTGTCTCAGTGACTGACTTCCCAGGGGTCTA